AGAGTACCTCTTCACTAGAGGTACTCTAGCCCTACTAGATGGGTAGCGACACGTGGTGGCGATATCAGAAATTAAAAATGGCTTCAATAAGTGAGCTACCCCCACCACTGAAAATCTTCTGAGTTGCAAGACCTGTATATACGACCGTGCTTGGGATTCGTCGAGGAATCGTCTCGTGTTTTCCGCTTCTGAATGAAGACGTGCGAGAAAACAGCACGGGAGGAAAAATAGACGTCCGTGTATAAAATTATAGGTGTAATCAGATGTAAGTTTTTCGACATGTCGTGTACAATTCCCGACGTGCAAATCTTGAAACGAATTGAAATAAATGCAATTTTTCTCTGAGATATAACACGCATTTGTTTGTCAGTTTCCTTTCGTACGAGGAAAGTGCGATGAGTAACGCGTGTCAGTTTGACAGCAGGAAGATGCAACGCCGATAGCATTCACCGAGCGTCGTGTTGCGCGAGAATAAACCGAGGGTACAATTGCACTCGAAATGGCAAAAGTCAACGAGGACTTGTATTTAGAACACATGCCGTCGACGGTGTACAACGAGTTGATTCACGAGCTGAATAGGAACGCGAATTGGCAGGTGCTCGCCTGTCACGTGGCCGAGCAGTTTGGATACCAAGGGTAAAGAGAAACGATTCGGGCGACCGTGAGATAAAGTTGGTCTATCCTCGACCTTTATGCGTCTGTCCCTCGCAGGAACTCGTGGCTGCGGTCGTTAGAGCGGAACACCGGCGCGGCGAAAACGCCAGCGGACAATCTGCTGTTCGAGCTCAATGTCAAAATGTGCACAGTTGGAATACTGTGCACGCTGCTCCGAGACTGCGAGCTCGGCGATGCTTTGTTAGCTTTACGTTACCCAGGTGCGCAGCTCTGTCTCCTTAGCTTGGTCGAATTGATGCGACTGTGGGTGAGACACTCCACAATATCAATAGAAAATATAAATGAGACTCCTGTACGAAACAACTCGGCAACATTAGTAATCTTTATTGACCGTATCTGGCAGTTTTAATAATACAGAAAATTTCTTGCGAAAAATATTACCTCAGTCAGGGTTTTGAACCTGGACTTGCCTATACGCTAGGTGGGCGTCTCAGCCAATTCGACCACCGAGGCGTAAAACAACTTACATTAACCAATCCAAATTGTAGTAACGGCTCTCAATAAAATCAAAGGTAGATAGGGAGAAACGGTCAATGCAAGCCCACAGCAGGTGTCCGTGCGAAATTGTCAATGTTTTTTTGTAAAAAACTTTATTAAAATGATCCAAACGTTTCGACCCGTTTTTGGGTCATCCTCAGTGAAGCTGGGATAAAAGATGAAAGTAGTATATAAAATCTCCTGTAAAGATTGCGACGCTTCTTATGTAGGCCAAACAGGCAGATCACGAGACACGGTAGTGTCTCGCGCCAAGTATAAGCGACAAACTATTAAGTTTATTAAATACGAGAATTAAAGAACATCGTAATCATATCAACAGAAATACCCAACAACATTCAGTAATTACTGAACACAGACTCTTGGGCCATGAAGTTGATTGGGACAACGTTGATATTCTAGATAGAGAAACATTTTTATATAAACGACTAATTTCTGAAATGATTCACATAAAAAGACAAAAGTCCAGACTCAACTTACAGAACGATACCGACCTTTTAAACACATACGACCACATTATTGACAACTTGGATGATATTTAAAAATTTGACACTAACAGTTACATTACCAACTCAATTATTGTTTTGGCAATCCTTATTTGCTACACCGAATTGACTTTTACTTTCGCGCTATCACCAGTCATTGTCATTTGTTATTTAAACCACTCATCGTGACTGTCCTCTCTCAACTGCGGTGAGTTATCACATTTGATTTCTTAATGAATAATTTAATGAAATACATTATTGATTTTTAAAATTATCGAATATACAAATCCAACTCTTTCCCAGATAGCACACTGAATTCACTAAGTATTCTTTAAGTTTTCTTTTTTCTGAATTGTAATTCTTTAGGAATTCATAGAAGAATACAATAAGAGTGACAGAAGAAGTTACATGCACCATAAATCGTTTTCCTGACAACTTCTTAAAGTATTCATCTCGAATTCAATAAATATAAACTTTATGAATTCAAGGGGAATAGTGTTAGAACAAAGAGGATTACAAAATATTTACCCAATGTATGTACACATCTGATATGCAGTAACATTAAACCATTATTATAATTTCTCACTCAACAGTGAGATACTCTCAACCAAAGCTCGTTGACAATCGGATGATTCTTCCGTTTCGGTTCTCGTCGTTCGATTCTTTCTTTTACACAATAGAACTATTGCACAAAATTAATTGCACATAACGTTACGCACACAAAATATTGCACGTGGTAACACGCTGCACAAGAACGTCCGGATGGCGGTTAGCGGATACTCGCGCATGACAAATAATTCTTCATAAATTCTTAAAGTATTCACAGTACTGAATCGCGAAGTATTCATTATAATGAACTTCAGAAGAATACTTCAAGACGAACTGATTGAGACTAATTCTTCAAGAATTCTTCAGATATTCATTTTTCTAATTCTGTATGTTTTCTTTAAAATGAATTCTCTATGAACTTATGTTCATCTTTGTGCTATCTGGGTATTATATCTTTTATCCCAGCTTCACTGAGGATGACCCAAAAACGGGTCGAAACGTTTGGAACATTTTAATAAAGTTTTTTAAAAAAAAACATTGACAATTTCGCACGGACACCTGCT